CATGAAGGAAGCAGCTTCAGCTCTCCTGCCGTGAACTTCTCTGGGAGGATCAGGAACCAGCTCGCTGCCTGACCTAGCGAGGCATCACTGAGTCATCTGGCTCAGACTGCCTGCGGCTGCTAGCAACTCGCCATATTGTCACCGTTACTACTCTCAGAGTTGAAGAATCCGATCAGGAGCAGACTCTCAGTCAACCCCAGCGGCGCCGCAGGCGGCCAGGCGTGACTGAGTTTGGGGGACAGTGTCACTGAGTGTAGCGGCTGAGTTCAGCGCGGCCCGGCCGTACGGTCCGCCGGAGTCGGCAGGATGACCGAGGCCCCGGGCCCGCAGTGGTTCTATACTGAACTTCGAAAGGCTCCTGATTGTACAGTACCGTCCTCGTACTGATTTTTAACTTAAATTTGAATAAAAACTTGAAACTACTGACGCCGGCCTCACAGTGACTGGGAGTCGACTCGCGGCACGCCGTCATGCCATGATCCGTCACGGGGCTCGGCCTGGCGCCCCGCGCCCGCCGCCGGCCGTTCTGGCAGAGTGACAGTCACGGATGCCCCGCCGCCCAGCCTGCCAGTCACTGCCAGGGGGGGGCCGCGCCGGGCGGCCCCGGCTCAACTGAGGCTTTCGGAAGTTGACTGGTACTTAGAACGGCGCGGGCAGGCCCTCGGGCACCGTGACAGCCAGTGCCAGCGGTCACGGGTGCCACTCAGTGACTCGACTCACAGAGTCAGTCGGTACTCAGTGGCCCGTACCACGCCGCGGACGGCACGGCGTCACTGACCGGCCGTTCAATGGCACGGTACTTGAGTGGCAACTTGAAGGCTCAGCCGCTTGCCGGTCACTGAGGCGGCCGGGCGGGGCCGGGCCCCAGGCGGCGCCCCGGCGCCGGGTCTGAGTGGAGGCCCAGCACTGACTGCCAGGCTGCGTGCCGTGCTGAGTCCGATCCGGCCTAACAGCCGCTGGGTGACTCTCACTGCGTACCGTAGTACGGTCGGTGGCACCGGGCTCAGTTACTGTAGCCGGTACTCAGGCCAAAGCACTGCGGCAAGTTAAGGCAAGTTATCACTTTGAGTGACGGCACGGCGAGGACAATCATCAGGACCGTGACTCCGGGAGCCTGAGCCTGAGTCGAGGACGGCGGGAGGCTTGACCCTGACACTGTCGCACTGGCACACAGGCCATACGGAGAGAACGGAAAAGTTCGGAAGAGAAAAGACAGCGAGAACCAAACCCAATCCTGCCACTGACTGCCGCCTTCCCCCCGGCCGCAGCGGCGGCTGAGCCGGGCCGCCGGGCCAAGTCAAATCACGCCGGGTCACTCATTAATTAACAGACGTATTCAGAATGTAAATTAGATGCGTCCCTTTGTCCCCCCCCGACACCCAAAGTGTCGGATGGAGTCGGACCTGGTAGTGTATCATATCGTCTTGATTTCGCAATGTTTGGTTAAAACATTTGTAAAGAGAGTTTAGTGAGGACCCCCGGTCGGAACCACCTGGTATGCCCGTCTATCCAACGAAACCACAGGACCACCCCCCCTTCCGACTTCCTGTTCTTTTCTTTTTTCGCCCCCCGGGTCCTTGGGCCGCATCGACCTCACCCCCTTCTCCAGCCCCCATTGGATAAAACCTTAACTATTCTTTTAAACGAATAGATGACTTTTTGAGCCGCGAGCTGAGAGGGCAGAACATCATCTGCTATCACATCAGTAGCACTTTCATTTCTGCCTTTTCCTTTTGGTGGAAACATAAAATATTTTTATCTATTAGAGTTGTATAATTGTATCTGGCCCCACCCCACCTTCAAAAGCATAGAGGAATTCCTCCTGGTGTTGGGGAGAAAGAGTCGGTGGTCTCCTAAGGAAACCGCGGAAAAATACATGTTTGACTTCCAACCCTCATCTTTTCGTATTTCAAATATATTTAATCCAGATAGTTTGGTTGTATAAACGAAACCGACTGATTTTAGGTCGTTTGGAGGATTGCTGATTTGGGGAGATCCATCTTTATAATAAGGACATGCTTAAAAGTTCTTTACACCCTCATTCCCCTACTAGGGGAATAACGGCTTCGCCCGGTTCGACCCTCCTCACCCCACCCCTGTTCGAACACCACCCTACCCACTTAATCGAAGTTGAACTACCTTGCACCAGAGATTTTGTGAAATGTCTTCGTCCCCGAATCGGTACCACCGGTACAATGTCGGTCCTTTGTTGGCTTCCTGCAATTTTCATATTAGTCGTACTAATTGATTGAATGCAAGACAACTGCTTCTTGTACCCCTACCCTTCGAATAACTTTACCCTCCCGGGGGACCCACTATAATGAATCACTCATTGGCGACCATCCTTACCCCACCTCCTTTGGTGTAACTTTTGTCCCCACCCTACCCAAACTTCCTATAGACCAACCCAGCTATCGTACCGTCTTTACCACATGACAGTACCTACCCCCAAACTTCACATTTGGTACCCTCACCCCTCCACACCGGCGCAACAGTCTTTAGTCGTCCTACCAGGTTGCCCACCCCGTATATCTCACTTGTTGCAATTGACTACCCCCTCAGAAATACCCCTACCCCCCCAAAAGCGTGTGTATTGCAGTTGTACGTGTCATATCGCATGAATCACTCAATTTACCTATACCAGTCATAGTAAAATTCCAAACTTTCGTCCACATACGTCGAATCTTCGCAGACCCTACCCATCTCTCTGCATGACTGACACCCCCCACCCATGTTCATATAATGAACCCCTTCTCAGATTCACTTCGTTGCACCGTGATATAGCTACCCTACCCGATCCCCCAGCTTATCCACAATTGTAACGGGTACTTCCCCCACCCCCCAGGGAGCGCGGAAGGGGTGGGGGAACAAACTCCAGGGGTGAGGTAAATTTTTACATCTCTGACCACCCACCTCTTCTCCCAGCAAACAACAAATTTAGACACCGGTGGTCGAATGGAGTCAAACTTGGGGATAATTGATCTTTGCAGGGGTGGGTGATACTTCCGGGGTACGAAGATTGGAATTTCTCGGAAACAGGGGGTTATCAGATATGAATCACTCAGATTTTTAGTGGGTGGGGGTACTACAGTGAGGGTAGGGGTGATCAGGGGTGGTATCTTTTCCCCCTGTCTCCTCGCTCCTCCGACGATCTCGTAACCCTCCTCCTCCTCCTTCCGTTCGCCCCCAAACTTTCACCCTCCTCCTTTCTTCCCCACCTTACCTCCTCCTCCTCCTCCTCCTCCTCCTCCTCCTCCTCTCCTACACTTCTTCTCGTCCTTTGTTTTCAGTGCGTTCCTCCCTTTCAATCGGAATTCTCCTTGTTCGGACCTTTCCGTTGCTCGATCGTTGTACCTACCACAGCTTTGCAAGGGCGTTTGTTGGCTGCCTACTGGAGTCCTCTTCATCGCATTTCGTGTTTTTGACCCTCGCTCAGATTTTGTTTTGAGTTTTGGATCCACAAACCTTCTTCCACAACCTTGTCTTGGGCAGCTGTAATCTCCCTCTGTATCTCAGTTTCCAACGCTCGCAATGTCAGTACTCTCACCGATTCAGCCAATCAACTTGCCTGACAACCTCGCATCCTATGAATCCAATATGCAGCACATGCAGCAGAGCATGCCGACGGAGTCAAGTATGGCAAGCGTGAGCCATGGCTCTCCAGGAGCAGAGAAGCTCACACCGAATTTCCCTGCCAAAAAGAAGACGACTCGCAGGTTTAGGATCACGGACCTGCCTGACAACTAAGTCAGAACATCACATTTCAAGTTTACATGTACATTCCGATTTTGCTAGTCTGACACATCAAAAGATCGAAGCTCTTCGCGCGCGCACTCTTCAGCCCATGGCAGCATTGTTACACCTTGTTTTTTTTGTTTTTCAATGGCTTCATGGCACTGAAAGTGACCGGCACCTCCTCTAATGCTATTTTTCGACATTCACAACTTTCGACTTTGTTGTGCACTCGTTTCTTCCAATTTCCCAAGTCACTGTAAACATTACCGCGAAGATGTTCAATTCTTGTTATATTTGTAGATAAAATTATTTTACACTGTCAAAGTCGTGTGCATGTGCGTGACAATGAATTTGTCCCGGTCTCTTCCTATTTCATTTAATGTATTTTAGCCAAGACTACACTTTCATGTCAATAATCATAACCTCCTTGCTAAAGAAACAAGCCGCCACCTGCAACAACACAAACAAATTGTTAGCATCACTCGACACCTGCGTCAGCACAAACATCACCTTGTCTCCTGCGTGATTCCACGCTACTTCGAAGATCCCGCTGTTACCTCTGAGCGTCTTCACGAGGGAACCGTCCTTGACGCTCCACACGTGCAGGCACTTGTCGAAGGAACCCGAGGCCACGTAGTCGCCGGTAGGGTTGAAGGCGACGCTGTAGACCGGCTCTGTGTGTTTGGAGAGAACGAAGATGCACTCTCCCTTCTCCACGTCCCATATTCTCACCTTGGAGTCGAAGCTTGCTGTCGCCAGTAGTGGCGGCTTGTTCGGGTTCTTGGTCCCTGGCCCTGTCGGGCTCCACTTGAGCGTGTAGATCTCCTTGGTATGGAGGCGGAAGTCATGTAGCGGCTCATCCTGCTTGACAGACCAGATCTTGGCGGTGCTGTCGTCGGAGCAGGAGGCAAGCATTGTTCCTGTAGGGTCCCACTTGATGGCGTTAACCTCGTCGTTGTGCCCAACAAACTTCTTGACGAAGGATTCCTCACCGATCTTGCAGACGAAGATCATCTTGTCAGTTGAGCAAGTCGCAAAGGAGTTGCTATTCCGCCAATCTACATCCAGTGTGGGCGCCTGATGGAAGGCAAACTGCTGTACAACATCCCCCGTCTTCGTGTCCCAAACAATGGCAGTCTTGTCCACCGACCCACTGAGCAGGTAAGAGCCCGTGCGATTCCATTTCAAGGAAAAGACAGGCCCTTTGTGCCTCATTAGGGTCATCACAAGCTTCCCTTGATCGTTCCAGATTCTAGCATGCCCATCGTACGACCCCGTGGCCAGTAAACTTCCGTCCGAGTTCCAGTCCAACGTTGTTACGTCCTTGGCCTTCTCATTCCCCTGAGCGTTGGAATGTTCAAGCACATGCCACTGAGTGTTCCGCTCTGCCTCCGACCCCGAGTCTGACGTGGGCACGTGCCAAATGCGAGCGCTGGAATCGCCTGAGCCGGACGCCAGTAGAGACTTAGTGGGGTTCCATGCTACGGTGAACACCTCGTTCTCGTGTCCTGTCAATGTCGTCACCTTGGTTGTTTCCACTTCTAGCCCATCCTCATCCATCGCCTCAGGTGCCTCTTCCTTCTCCTCATTATCTCGGTTCTGCATGTTGTGTTATGAAACGGAAAGGTTCTCCAGTCACATCAAGGGAAAGAAAAAAGCGAGATGCAGTGGTGTTACCTGTACATGAGAAGGAACCAAGATGGAGAGCTTGTCATCTCCTCCATCATCAATTATACTCCCATCGTCGTTAATATGTTGTTCGATTTCTACATAAAGCATGCCCTTCTGAACAAAGGAGATGAGCGACCCAGGAGGGACGTCAGCGCCATTGATATTCGCTTTCGTCACGAGGCTTTCATGCGCGAATGAAAACGCTGTATGTGTGTAGCCAGATTCAAGAAGATATCGATATATAAGATAATTCAACTCGTCCGATGTCAAAGACATTGAGGCGAAGCTCTTCTTCCTGAGAAACGTGTCAAGATTTTCCACTCAATCCTTCTTCGATCTCTGCACGCGCTAAATCGCAAGAGCACGAATCAACAAGTTGACGAATCTGTCAACAACGGAAGGAAAAAACAACACGTGGTCAACAAAAATGTATGTTGCCACTATCTCTCTTGAAAATTCAAAGCATTTTCTCGCAAATGCAATTCTGCCAGAATAGCACTTTACTATGTGCACACATGTAGTCGCTTTCAAAACTAAATTTTGGCATTCTCTCTTATACATCCAACAACCAACTTCCTCCTAGTCCAAAAATCACACACTATTCATAGTTACCATTCAACTGCTCCACTATTCCCAGCAAAACCTTGCCAGGAACTCAAACGCCCCTCACTAAAAATGTTCTTACATCTCTTTCTCTCAAGCTTCCGCCTTGTGACTCCCTCTGTTACGACATTACCGCCAGTCGACATCTGATATCACCACATTTCCTTTTTGTTTCGTCACATCTAATTCGCGTCTACAGCAGCAGAATCTCATCTATACCAGTACGATTTCCTCGCACCTCCTGCTGTGCTGAACGGAGTGACTGAAACACCTCCTCTTTCAATGATCTCTTCAGCGTACCTGAACAGCAACACCTGGTTTTAGATTTCATTGCTATGGCAACCTCATCGTCACACAAAGCTTTCATCTCTCAACCACAATCCTAGTGGCTGGTGATCGCCAGCGTGTCACGCTTGAGTTCTTACTACTGCTAGAGCACACTACTGTTCCTAGTCTTTGATCGGATCTATCTTCTGCTCATTCAGTCTCTGTGCTCCGCTCCTTCTCCCTGCCTCTCCCTCCCTCCCTCCCTCCTCCCGCCGTTTCCTCCCCTCGCCTGCCCGTCGGCATGAGCGAGCGCCTCTGTCCTTAAAAAACTCTTTTATTGGTAAATCACTTTTATAAAATTCAGTACAGTATGAATAACCACTATTCAATAGAGGTACTCAATTTCAGATCAAATCAAATAATTGGATGTAAGTGATCTATACCCAAAAACTGAAAAGTACTTTTAATAATTTAGCTATATTCTAGTAAACTTTACTTAATAATTTATAAAACGAGTTCAAGTACAGATTTAAAAACATGTGTCAACATCATCAATAGCCGGACACGACTGATGATCACTACCAGCGTAATACAATGATGACCCCTACCCTCTAGGTGATTTTCACCTAAATCTACCGGGTACCCAGGTTCATGGGTTGTCATCGAATAATTTTCAAGATTGTATCTATGATTTCAAATATTTACTAAAGGACAGTTGAACATGTATCCAACTTGAGAACTTCGCCGTTAGCACGTAACGGTGAGGACTCAACACCTTTCATTGTTCAGGTCGCCTTCATGGAAGCGGTAGAAAGCGACATGGCCGAGGTTCTGTGAGCACATCCCAAACATCTTCTTGGAGAATTCGATCCAGGGGACAAGTGAGAATGAAACTGAGACAAGACGTACTACCCGAGGAAGAGTTGCGGGCAACGTGGGTCTGCGTGAGGAATAACTTGAATGGTCAGCGGACACAGATTGGAAGTGCCACTGCCCATACCACAGCAGTGACGGGGTCCGGATCAGATGCGACTACTAGTGCGACTGACGAGGACGCGATCAGGACAGGAATCATCATTGATAGCTGATCTGACATGAGTGGAGGGGGTTCAGAGCGAGGATAAAGGTTCTTTCGAAAGAAATGATTTCTTTTTCAGTTGTGGTTCATGGAAATTGTAGGATTCGGACTTAAACTTGGTCACGCTGTGTTGACCTGTTGGCATTCAAGAAGAAGAACAGCAAGGAACGTCTTTCACACGTGTCCTTGTCGAAATGCTTCAAGCAGCATATCTGGAGGATGCTTGCAAACAAATACGAAAAAACTTGTGATGAAGCACTGGAGCAGTTGGAGAACTGGACACGAGAAGGACCAGCAAACCTCCGCTTGTCAACGGGAGATGTTCGTGGAGTCATCAATCGTTCATCTGATGGTCAACTGCATCATCGTCTTCTAGAAGTCGGCGAAGTGCACAACGCGAGTGGACCCTTCGTAAAGAAATTGAGAGTGCGATCGGAATCAGTTGGGATGTAGCTGATCATGCTATGGTGACCTTTTCAATTCCTTGTCGACTTTTTCCTGCTGCAAATGATGTTCGGCAAGGTGATTACCATACACCACATGCTATGACATGTATTACAATCGGCTGCAACCGCGTCATAGTACATGTCTTTGCAGAAATGAAGTCTCTGTAAACTTGGCTTCACATGCAGAATCCTGCGCATCAGTCCCTACTTTTCCTTACCTCTCGTCTCTTGTAACGGTGTATTGTTGTTCCTATCCTCATGTGGTTGTAATCTGGGTTGCTAGGGGCGAAGAACAGATCAAACAAAGGCAAAGTGGACGAATATACTTTGCCTGCACTCACCAGAATCCAAAACAATACTTTGCCTATACATGAGCATGCTGATGAAGAGACAGGACAGTTAAGAAACACCATGGCACCGAGGAAGCACAAGGCACTGATAAGGTGATAGTGCAGCTGAGTCATGAAGCAAGTAAACAAGTAAAAGTGCATCGATGAAGAGACAGTAGAGTCATGAAACAGGTACAAGAACATCAATGAAGAAACAATACAACCATCATGTCATTACACTGCAATACAACCATCATGTCACTACACTGCAATACAACCATCATGTCACTACACTGCAATACAACCATCCTGTCATTACACTGCAATACAACCATCATGTCATTACAGTGCTCTGATGAAGGAGTGGGTCAAGCACAAGCCTGATGCGAGAGCATGTAGCGGCCTGGACCCGCCCTGCCATGGAAGTTTGTGGTTAGCACTTTGTCGAACAATAAAAAAAGGAGAGGAGAGGAGAGGCGGGTGGGGGAGGAGAGGAGAGGAGAGGAGAGGAGAGGAGAGGAGAGGAGAGGAGAGAAAGGGGGAGAAGAGGAGACAAGGGGAGAGGGGGAGAGGAAGGGAGGGGAGGGGATGGAATGGAGGGAGGGGAAGGAATGGAATGCGGCAGGGGTAGAGTGCAAGGATTGAAAGGATGGATTAATCGGCAACGACACCTGCAAGAGCATTGCCGAAGCGTGTTTGTCTCTGAAGAAGGTTTCACAGACGCTTGCTCCCCGATTCTAGTCGATCTCGAACGCTCCATGTCCAGAGAAAGCTCACATGGTTCTCCCCCCCTCCTCTCCCTCTTCCTCCTTCTATTCGTTAGCTTTTCCGTCAACTCCTCCTGCCTGCAGCTCTCTGCGATTAGCCGTCTGCCAGATACGCCAGTCGGCATGCTCACGATGGCCCTGCGAGGAGGCTCGTCCGAGGTTGTGTCGCTCTTCCTTTCCTCCTCTCTTTTCCTCGCCTTTCCCTCCCTTCCTCTCTTCATCCTCGCCCTCTTCGACCTCCTGTCCTGCCGCTGCTCCCTTCTCCACCACCTCTCATCAGCGAATCTTCTTATTCTCTTGTTTCTCCTTGGCCCCCTTGCTTGTGCTGCCGGCTTTGTACATGATTTCGGATATCTTTTAGGAATCGGAGTCAGAACGAGAGCGTTGTCCTCCTGATGTGTGCTGCTGGTGTGAGCATGGTGGTGTGTGCGAGATAGAAGAGGAGTTTCAGTGTTGCCAGCGGGAAGAGCGGGAGAAGTGCCAACAGCAGCAGGAGCAGCAGCAGGAGCAGCAGCAGCAGCAGCAGCAGCAGCAGCAGCAGCAGGGGGAGAGGGAAGACGAGGGGAGAACAGAAGTTGAGACGACGATGGGACACGGAGACAAAGAAGAGGGGGAGGGGAGGCAAATCTTGATTCCCGGAGGAGAATCCTGGAAGGTGAATCATGTTCTGTGCTTCTTGTTCTTTGCAACGCTCCCTCCTATCTCTCCACACCCTCCACTGCTCACTTCCTCTTCTCTCTTCCCTTCCCCTCCCCTTCTCTCTCATAATGATCCACCTTCATGTTCTCTGACTCTTTATCTTGCATCTCGAACGCTCGTGCCTCCTCCTCCTTCTCTTTGACAACAACCGCTCGACTGTTTCCATCTGTTGTCCTTCCCCACACCTCCCTCACCCACTTCATACGTCCTCATCAAAACTGTTGTTCTCACCTCGTCTCCTGCTGCTTCTCTTCCCGCCCTTCTTCTCCCCCTCTTCTCCCCCTCTTCCTTCTCTTTCTCCTTCTCAGCTCTCCTTGCTCACTGATGTTCCTTACACCGGTTATCAGGAGGAGATGTCTCCTTTTCTGCTGGTGATATATTCTGTGGCGACGAGATCGGAAGGATCACTGTCCATAACGCTATCAATCTTGCATATAAGGCAATCAACACTCTCGTTGTCTCGGAGTCTTGTTGTAATTCCGTCTTTCTCAACAAGACCACATTTGATTGTTCCGAAGTGATTGTGTTACACATGTTTGATTGTGTTACACATGTTTGATTGTGTTACACATGTTTGATTGTGTTACACATGTTTGATTGTGTTACACATGTTTGTCTTCAAGGGATCTTGATCTCGTATACCTTCAATGTTTGTCACTGATGACATGTCTTGCCTGTTCTGTCATGTCAGCAATTGCTACTGTCATGATCTCTACTGACACTACCTCTTGACCGCACAGAGGAGCAGAAGCGTTCCTTCCTTTCCCAACAGCAGGTGTGCTATCTACCCCCCAAAGTTTTCTCCTCCAAATTGCTGAAAAATCCTCTTCCCCCCCCCCTTCTCCTGCTTCTCCCTCTTACCTTCCCCCCTCTCTATCCATCCCCTTCCTCTTCTTTCGTGCTCCTCTATGCAGCATCCTCCCAGCTCGTCTTTGGGCCTCCTGGAAGGTCTCCAATAGCTGCAGCGGTAGCCATCCTTCTTCCCCTCTCCTCCCTCCCTCCTCACGCGTGCGACGTCAGCGAGCTTCGCCTCCTTGTCCTTGTGCTGGGAGACCAAGACAGGTTTCGTGCCCGCCATCTCGCTAGCAGGTCGGCTGCTCCCCCTGCTGTGCCGCCGCGCATTTGACGTCTCGCGCGTCAGGATCTCTCAACCTCTCCTCCTGCGACGTGTTTGCTGGGGGAGGCCCATGCATTGAGTGCTCGGAAGGATCGAAGTTGTGGGCAACGCGGTGAGGAGGAGGGGGAGGAGGAAGGGGAGAGAAGAAAAGGCAGCATCAGATGCAGAGTCAGCGGCAAGGCAAGATGCATGTTGGATGAAAGGGGAGAAAGTGCAGGGAAGGCTCCCACTTTAATGTCAGAAACTAGTTTTGAGGATGGAAGAATCAATCAGCAGCAGCAGCAGCAGCAGCAGCAGCAGCAGCAGCAGCAGCAGCAGCAGCAGCAGCAGCAGCAGCAGCAGCAGCAGCAGCAGCAGCAGCAGCAGCAGCAGCAGCCGGTGTAGGGCGAGGGCGAGGGGAGGGTCTCGAGGAGAAAAGTGCTGCGAGTCCTCCACCTGCTTCAACTCAATTCCTCTCCCAGCAACCGGATCGGCGGCTTCGGGACTGGACCGCGACCAAGTGCAACCGTTGGAGTTGTAGCGTGGGGAGGAGAAAGCAGGTAAGAGAGGATGAAAAGGAGGACGGGGAGGCGGTGTAGTGCGAGTTTCAGGAGCAGGAGCAGCAGGGGGAGGAGGAGCAGGAAGAGCAGGAGGAGCAGGAGCAGATAGAGAGAAGGGGAAAGGCGATGGAATAGGACAAACAAGGATGGCTCTTTGAATTCAATACAGATGTTCTGTATCCCTTGTAGACTGTCGATTTCAGGTAATATGATGTTTGTGTGCTGCTGCTGCTGCTGCTGATGATGATGATGATGATGATGATAATGATGATGATAATGATGATGATGACGACGACGACGACGATGATGATGATGATGATGATGATGATGGCAATGATAGAGATGGAGATGGAGATGGAGACGATGACGATGATGATGATGATGATGATGATGAT